TGTGTGTGTGTGTGTGTGTGTGTGTGTGTGTTTCAAATTAAATATAAAATAATAATAACTGATTATATATATTTAAATTGAATATAAAATAATAATGGGTCAAATTTGTAAAAGTTGTTAAATATGTATGTGGCATTGGAAAGTTAATTAAAATAAAATATTTTAAAAATATTATTTTTTGTTTGACAAAGAGTGTTAAGGGTCGAAAAAAATTATTGTTTAATGTGACAGCTCAAAAAATTATTATTTTAACCATCTCTTGTGGTGTGGGACTGGTGGTGGCATGGTGGGGGAGTCGCTGGTTTTCCGCCAGCGGAGGGGTTGGGTGGTCGCCTGAGCACGGGGTCGATGTATTGGGTTTTGATTCCAGTCAGGCACATGTCGCAGTTTCTGGTGTTGATTTTCGAGCTTTGAGTCGGTCCTTCTGGGTGATCAACTGAGAGTTGTTGTCGTCAGGTCTTGTTTGTAGCGGTAGTCTGGATGTGGGAAGGGCTGTTTTTATTTTTGTTTGTGTTGGTGTTTTGGTGTGTTTGTGTTGGTGTTTTTGTGTTGTTTGTGTGTTTCGCATTTTTGTTTGGTTGTGATGATTCTTTTGGATGTGTAGATTATCCTCTTTGGAGTTAGGATTATTGTGGGTGCGTGGTGGTATCTAGGCTCCTCCGGGATGTCTTTATTGTGGATTCGGCTTATAGTCCATTTCTAGTTGTAATTATGTATTATATTTATGAAAGTCTATCGTTTGGAAAAAAAATACATGACAGTTAATTTGAAATGAGATTTTTCGAATGCTTTAATTTATAAATAATAAATAAATAAATAAAGGGGGAAATGAACATATGTTTTTGTATTAGCAGTTATTCTTCACCACCAACCCTTTAAATTATTTTGTATTTAGTTGAATTTGTTGATAACTAGCGTTAATTTTGAAAAATTTGATCAAGTTAGGTTTGAGTCAGATTTTGAATTTCTATTAAAATAATATTTAAAATATAATGAATAAGTTGATATAATGTAAAACTAGTAGAGAAATATAATCGAAAGTGATGCATGATTAAAATTATAAAATAATAAATAGTAAACTAAAGTTGGTGTGATGCCTGATGATGAATGATTGATATCATTTATTTGCAGTGAGGAGATTTAGCCGAATTAAATTTAAACTAGATTTTGTTTATATTCAGGAGTTTTAGTTGAATTAAATTTAAATTAGATTTGGTTTATATTCATGAGTTTAGTTGAATTAAATTTAAATTAGATTTTGAGTTTACAAATTATGAGAATACGTTTTGAGCAAATGATTTAGAGTAAATTGTAATTTTAATCTTATATGTTCACTATCATAACTTTTCCTTCCTCTTTGAATTGTTTGTTTGATTGTCGTCCCTTACGTTTATAAAAGAGTTAGAAAAAAGTCCCCGAGCATACATAAAAGACCAAATTAGAACATTTTTTTGCAAAACATAAACGACCTTTTTGTGCAAAAAATACCTTTTTGTGACTTTTTTGCAAACGTATAGGATGAAAAAAAAAAACAATTCAAAGAGAACGAAAAAAGTCGAGACGTGAAACATACCATACTAAAATTACAATTTACTCAGTTATTTAACCAAGGAATTCCATTTGCTTATAAGCCATTTTTGGTCTGGTGTTGGTTACTGCCATAATTTTGATTTCGAGTAAAATGCATTTTTCGTCCTGTATGTTTATCCCTCCAAACATTTTAGTTCTCTTCGAATTGCGTTTTTTATTTTCGTAACATAACTCATCTTCCTCGCATTTACCCCAATTTGCTGGCTGCAGTTCACCAGAATTCATCTTCCTTTTTCCCTCTTATTTCGTGTGAATCATGAGATCTTACCCATCACCTCTAATTAGGTAATCGTTGTCGTTTTCAAATTTGTTTTCGATCTACTGCTTTGATTTCATTCAGATTCACCTGAAAATTCAAGTGTGTAACATTGCTCAAAGATTCAAAAAACCCAGATGGCCTCGATCCGGCTGGAGGCGTCCAAGCAGTACTACGCCACCAGCAGCCTTGTTATAGGCTATGCTCTGTGTTCCAGCTTACTCGCCGTCATAAACAAATTCGCCATCACCAATTTCAATTACCCTGGCCTACTCACTGCGCTTCAATACTTAACCTCAGCCTCGGGCGTCTGGGTTCTTGGGAAACTCGGCTTCTTGCACCACGATCCCTTCACTGTAGAAACGGCCAAGAAATTCCTGCCGGCAGCATTGGTCTTTTACCTGGCCATCTTCACCAACACGAACCTCCTCCGCCACGCCAATGTGGATACTTTCATAGTCTTCCGATCCTTGACCCCACTCCTTGTGGCAGTTGCCGACACCTTCTTCAGGAAGCAGCCATGGCCTTCAAAACTGACATTCTTCTCTTTGGTGGTCATTTTAGGGGGTGCCGTCGGGTACGTGGCTACTGATAACGGGTTCAGCTTGACCGCATACTCGTGGGCCTTTGCATATCTGGTGACCATTACCACAGAGATGGTTTACATAAAGCACATGGTGACCAACCTAGGCCTCAACACCTGGGGATTTGTGTTCTACAATAATCTCTTGTCATTGATGATGGCTCCCTTGTTCTGGATCGTGACTGGGGAATATGCGGATGTGTTTGCAGCTCTGGCATCATCGGGCCTGGGGGATTTGTTTGGGCCCGTCGCATTTTCTGCTGTGACCTTGTCCTGTGTGTTTGGGTTGCTTATAAGCTTCTTTGGTTTTGCAGCCCGAAAGGCTATCTCGGCTACTGCGTTCACTGTTACGGGAGTCGTTAACAAGTTTTTGACTGTTGCCATTAATGTACTGATTTGGGATAAGCACGCGACTCCCTTTGGTCTGGTTTGTTTGCTGCTGACTATTGCTGGAGGAGTTCTTTATCAGCAGTCGGTCACTGGAGCAGTTGGGAATGCCTCAGCATTGTCCAAGCAGATGGAGAGCAAGAATGATAATGGGGCAGAACGGGATGAGGAAAAAGGGATTACCCGGTAAATTTTCTGGTGTGTGAGCATATTTGTTCTTGAATCGGCTGAATTTGTTCGTTATTTGAATTTGGCGAACTGGTTCGAAAATTTTTAGAGTTATTCGTCCTGGAATTTATGTATTAACTCCTTATTTCCTGGCTGTTAGACTTGTCATTGTCCTTAACTTGTAATCGACAAATATTTTTGCCATATAAAAAAATATATACCACATGGATATATCTTACCTGTCTGGATGAAATTTCTTTGGTACAGTGCTGTTTCTTTTTATGTTTCAATTGTTGGATTATTTCCATGTTTGCATTGGCTGAATATGCTCGTTATTTTAATATCATGCGTCCAACTGCAGCTACAATGTTATTCTCTGTTCTTCCTGTATTTATAGGAAAAATTCTTTATTTTTGCTCATTGGGGATTGACTGCACTGTAACTTGTAATGGACATGTGCCATATGTATCGTGCTGAAGATGGGTGAAAAACTTAAATCTCCTGATTTCATCTTTACTTGTCTGGGTGAAGTTTCTGTAATTCGTCGGCAAAACCATATATGGGTACCACATTGGGTTAGGTCCTGCAATGTTTATGGGTTTCAAACTTTCTTCTATTGGATTATTTCCATGTTTGCCCAACTTCTTTACTGGATATGTCTTTCCTTTTAGTTTATTGAAACCTCTTCCTAAGGCACCTCGGCAGGTGACGATGAGCTATGTTTTTCCTTTTTATGTTCATCGTAATAAGGATCGAGTGATATATAGGATATGCCTGACTTCATATAGTTTCATCTCCATAGAATGGCTAGGTTTTACGTTGGCTCGCCAAGCCTATCACAACCCTCCTCCTTTACCAGGGCTTGGGACCTGCTATGTTGAAACAACATAGGCGGAGTTAAAAAATGTGTTACATCTACTTACGAAACATATAGGTGAAAGTTTATTTTTAAACAGTTGATGTTTTATTACTATTTAATGGTGTTCTGTGCACATCTATCATCTTCATTAGCTTGTAGGTGCCTTGGTCAGGTTTTATTATAAAAGAAGAGCTTAGCTGCAAAATTTGGTGAATATGGTGATGTGCACTTTTTGATGGCACTTTAACAAAATAAGAGTGTCCCCCAAAATAAATTTACTGTAACAATGCTGTCAAGTTCGATCTTCCATGATTAGTGCACAACTATTGCAAGCAGCTTCGCTGTACTTCCTCCATTTGCTTATTATAGCCCGGTATTTACAATATAGTATGACTGTGAAGACATGGAAGATTGAATTTGATAGTATTGTTACATACAACTTTCTCTTATATAGTATAATGACTTCCCAACTTCTTTTTTTAGAGCTAATTCTTTATGCTTCTGTTCCTTAATAATTCTATTAAAATGATTTGAGATCTCTAAGGCCTTGTGGTTATTCGCTTGTATTAATATTTTAGATCCCATTTATTACCCTTCTTAACTCCTCTAGACTGGGTTCATCTATTGATAGAATTTTGTAAAAATTTCATTTGTTGAAATGTGATGTTTGTAGAATTCAAAATGCTATTGTCATACACATTAGTTTCACATATCTGCTTAGTCTGTAATGCAAAATCAGTGCTCTTTTGCTGGTGGAGGAAGTTGCACAACTTGATTTTTAGTGTATGCATGACCTTGTAATGGAGGGGATTTTCGGGAACGCCCTCGCCCTTGGGAGTTATAGTCGGTCTTCGGGACGAAATCGATGAAGGGGCGACAGGACAACTATGCTAGGGTTTCATAGGAAAATAAAGTGAGACGGATGAAAAACAGTTATGCATAGAATGAATCAAAACGTCGTCGTTTTGTGGGTACTGGGTAACCATAAAAGTAGCGACGATGGCCATCAAAAGAGGAAGTAACATGGCGTGAAGAGAAGGGACACGCTTCTTTTTATAAGATATGAGTATAGATATAGATATATCTCAATGTATATAATTGCAGAAGGCGCTGAACTTAAGTGGCAGCTTCGCACACTTTGTTTTGTAATCTTATGTGATAAAATGTTATGCTTTGTAATATAGTTCAAATAAAAATTGATAACTTTTTATACCAAATAGCTTTGGATTGCCATATATGTACATATTTAATATATTACACCTATTCCACATAAATCTATTTATTGTTTTCGTTATATAATGTGCATATTACCTTACTTTTCAATTTTTGTACTTTGTCCATATTATTCTCTTATGTGTTTTAAATTAATGATGTATAATTGTATATAAATTAATTTTCAAAATTTAAAACAATATTGTTAATTCACTTAGTTATTCATTATAAATTGTTATATAATATTCTTTATTTATCTTTTCCCAAAACAAAATATAATTTAATTATTTTATCAGTGTTACAAAAATATTTTACTGGGACATATATATTACTAGTACGACACCCATGTACTATATGGGTGCATGAAAAATAATTTGAACAAAAAAAAGTAAAAGAGTTGGTTATTGTATGTATATATAAAATAAATAAATGAAAGTTTTCATAAAACAAAAGCTAATTTTATTTCAAAATCTCAAAATTTTCTTTGTGCACAACAATATTAGTTCTACTTAAAATTTATCACCTTGAAAAAATAAAAAAATTATGATGAATGAGTTAAAATTTATCAACTTGAAAAAAAAAAGATAAAGAATGATAGTTAAGATATATAATTAGTTAATTACAGTTCACCGTTATTTATTGCGCAAACAAAAACACTAAAAAATTGGTTAAAATTTATCAACTTGAAAAAAAAAAAAAAAAATATGAAATTGGACAAATCTTTAGTAAAATGAAATTAGAAGATACATGTCCTTGTGATCTTTGAATTCAAGGTAAATTTGATAATGAAAAAGAGATTCATGAGAGACAATAATGTATGGTGGAAAAATTAATTACGACACTTTCTAAGTCTATTTTATTTCCAATATTTTTATACCAACTTAAATACAAAACTTACAAAATATTATATTGTGACATGTAAGACTTAATACACGTTTTGAATTAATATAAAAACAAAAAAAAGTATATTAAGCGGCATAAACACACTTGCTCTGGATGTGTGTAGTCTAGGTTTGACTCATCGCATCCTTTGGAAACCTCACTTCCACACTCCGAAGATACTGCGCGCCTCCAGCGGCAAACAGCCGTCGTCCACCGCCGCCTCAGCTTGTAATACTACTCATTTCTCGTGTTTAAACGATGCCTTTATCTATGAACATCGATTTCAGTTTTTGTCGACCAAGTTGATCATGCTGTTAATTGAACCACACTGCTGCAGCTGCAAGCTGAAGCTTGACGAGAGAGCACACGGAGAATGCATAGCTTTAGGGTTTTTCCCCAAAGCCCACCTGCAGCAATCACATCTGCTACAGCTTCGTTGCCTTTATTCAAGACTGCGTCTCTCCCAGTCAATCGGAACATGAAATCATCGAATAGTTTTGTCCTAAAGGTTCCTCAACACTATTGCAGGGCTTCTTTGGAAGCTCAAGATGCATATCCCAGGTATTGTTGATTATAGTTTGATTCCTCCTATTGTGGAAGCCGAATGCATTTTCCCAGGTATGCTGTGTTTTGTTCGAAACTTTTTGAAGATGTTTTCCGGCTTGTAATGAAGTTCTCGAAAATCTTCACTGTATTCCTGTTCGATGCTTGACACAATCTCGATACACCTCAGAACAACTAGTGATTCAAACCCACGCGTTTATCTTGTGTTCTGCCACTCATGATATTCCAGCAATTTAAGGAAGTGCGGGGTTTGTTTTCTCAAAGTTGCAGTAACACTTACTTGTTTCTGCATAATTATTCTATCTGCAGGGACTCCAATCAACAGGTCCATGGGCTGTCACAAACAGTTGTGGGTGTTCTCGGTGGAGGGCAACTTGGTCGTATGTTATGCGAAGCAGCTTCCCAGATTGCCGTGAAGGTGGTAATACTTGACCCAATGGAGAACTGTCCGGCAAGTAACTTATGCCATGATCACATGGTGGGAAGCTATGATGACAGTGCTACTGTTGAAGAGTTCGCCAAAAGGTCGGATTGGGCGAATGTTTTTTGGATTAGGAGTAAAAGTGATTTTTTTTTTTTTTTTTTAATTTACTTGGACTGTGACTGTAGGTGTGGGGTGTTGACTGTTGAGATTGAGCATGTTGATGCTGCAACACTTGAAAGACTTGAACAGCAAGGGGTGGATTGCCAACCTAAAGCTTCAACAATCCGGATCATTCAGGTTATTTATTACTTCATTTTTCTTGCCGGAGGCATTGTTACAGTAACTGATTGTTATGTTACGTGTTGAAGTTAATAACTTCTGATCCAACAGTATGTTAATCACTTTCTTGTTAGCTAGCTACCATAAGAAAGCTTTATCCTTTTTTTTTTGTTTTTTGTTTTTTGTTTTTTGTTTTTGTTTTTAAAAAATGGGGTTATGAGAATATTAAGATGCTTTTGTTTTTGTTTACTTATTGTAATCGCTTGACTGATAATAGGTTCACTGGATTCTTTTTGCTTTCGCTATTTTAGTTTATGGGGTTGGACCAACATTATAGTTCTCAGCCTCATAGTTAACTCATTCTTAAGATATCTTAGTAGTTTCTTCAACTACCTGTTTTAATCATTTATACTTTGAGCATCTTTACAGTAGTTTGCATATTGAGGAAGAATAATATATATTGACTCCCAACGATGAAGAAATTATCTTATTATTTACTTTATGCGATTTCATATAATGATGTATTTTATTAACATCAAAATTAAGCATTTTTTGGAGGTTAATTGGTTGCATTCCTGAGTGAGAGTGCCTCCCCCATCCCGGCAATCTCTAAACAACAGTTCTAGTGATTCAGTTTCGGTCTATTAATGGGATTGGATAACGGAAAACAATAGACAAAATCTGGTCGTATTTGATAACCGCCTGTGGTGCTGCCATAATCGCCATCCCTCGCAAATTTCTCATGGCCATTAGGCCGAAATCGGCCACGGTCACTATTTGATAACACTGTCCCTAGCATCAACATGTCATTATATTGCTTTGGCCACTGGCAAAATTCTTAATTTATGTTCGGGAGAAGAGTTTTAGATTTTAGAAGTTACAGGAATCTTTTTGATATGTATTGTAGTTGATGAATTTCAGGTAACAACTCAAAATCCTTTTGATGTAATGTTGTATGCTCTGGATAAAAGAGCCCCAACTGTGTAGTGATTTGCATTAAGCCATTAATTTCGGTCATAAGAATTTCTGTGGACCTGTGTTTCCTGTTAAGAGTTGCATCTTCGATCAACATATCAATAATCATAATAGTATCATCTGAATTATGCTAAAGTATTGCTTGGATTCCCAATTTTTCAAGCTACAAAGTGGGAGTCTTTTATTTGCTTTTAAGGTTATTTCTCTGGTTGCTGTTATGTTTGGTTTTCTTTGTTTAGGTAATAGTCAAAAGATAATACTATAATTTATTAATTGAACCAGTGATGTATTTTCTGTATGAGCAATGCTATTCTGTCTGGTCCGCTCATTCAAAAAGAACTTTCTATTCCATGCAGATCTTACAACTTGTATGCTAACTTATGCTTCGAGTAACATGTTTGCGAACAGGATAAGTATCTTCAGAAGGTTCACTTTTCAAGACATGCAATTCCATTGCCTAAATTCATGCAGGTAGTTTTGAGCTACAAAATGATTGGATATCTGATATCATGTATAACTTTATCTGTACCTGATAAAAGATTCTTTGCCTTGTGGGGAATGTCTGTGGCAGATAGATGATCTTGATAGTGCAAAAAGAGCAGGAGACCTATTTGGTTACCCCTTAATGATAAAGAGCAAGAGGCTGGCTTATGACGGACGAGGCAATGCTGTAGCTAAAAGTCAAGATGAGATTCCTTTGGCAGTGAATGGTAAGACTCTTATGTGCTCTTGTTTCCAATTATATGATTTAACCCTTGTGGATTTAATTATATCAGACCTTCATTGATGCAAATTCTTTTGTAGTCAGTTGTCTTGTTAGATGCAAGTTTAAGACACTGTTTTTGTGCTATAATGATGCTCCTCAACTTAACTTGCATCTATAAACTGTGCTCTATGTATCTGCATGTTATTGAGTTGAAACTGAAACTGGACTATTTGTTAGTTTGTACTCTCAATAAGCAGGGTGATTTTTTTTACTTGATATACTGCACATCTCTTCTTAATTTACTGCATGCGATTTGTACAATTGTGTAGATTAAGTTTTTAATATATGTTGTTTTACCTGATTTTTTTTTTTTTTGTTTATATCTTTTTGCAGCCCTTGGAGGATATGGTCGAGGTTTATATGTTGAACAATGGGCACCATTTGTGAAGGTCAGCTCCTTTTGGGTGACTCAGTGTTATGATTATGTGTTGTTCCCACCAAACAATAATGGCAGTAGAATGCTCTAATAAAATTTCTGTGGTTCTCCACTACAATCTAATACAGTTGTGATTGAGTTGATATTTGAGGGACGTTTTTAGAATTGAGTGCTTGCAAGGCTAGGCTTTTTCAACCTTTGACCTTGTATTAGGTTGTCATCGTCCGATGTTAATTGGCAGCAGACTTGCTTTGTTATTGTCTTATTAACTATTTCATTACATTTTTAGAGTGTATCCTTCACTGTAAGACATGATACCTTCTTGGTTTAGCTATATAAATGCTTGTGACTACATGCAGTCAGTGAAAAAGAAATAGATTAACTTTGAAAGTAACATAAAATTAAATATATAACACTCAACTGAACATAGACCTATTCAAATTGGGCTACATTTTTATCCTACAAGAAAAAAATTGGCGTCGTACAAATATTCCGAAAATGATAAAATAAAAATAGTAGGATGAATAAAAAAATGGGTTTCTGTAATTTGATTCTGCAATTATATATCCAGGTCAGATACCTTCTAAAACACCTGCTTCTTGGTTCTTGAAAGTGCTTGATATGAAATCTGACCTTTTTCCCTCTCTTCTATACTCTCGGTTGTTGAAATGGTGTGGGATTTGTTTAAATCCTTTTAATTTGCAGTTCCTAAGACACAATACTGGCTCGCCCGTTTCTTACTTTTCCCACTTATGCTTCTCTGATTAAGTTAGTAGACGCATATGATGCAGTTCCTATGTGCTCCTGCTTTTGTTATCAACCTAATTTCATTTCAATATAATTACTATCTTTTCTGTTCCATTGACACTTCTAATCAACATCTAAAATTCTCATATTCCAATTACGAACGAAAAATTTCAGTATAAAATTCAGCACATGATATTCATGTCATAGAATGCAAACAACTTAGCGCAAGTCAATTTGATGAAAGTCAAATCAAACTATCCATGACAGAATTCTGAAACTTTTGGTGGCCATTTTCTTTAGTTCAAACTGGGAACATGAATCAACTAATTGTGGGTGTACCCACTATCGATTTTTTTCCTCAAATAAACTATTATTAAAGGTTTTATAATGATTAGGCTATGGGCAGGCAAATAATTTAGATCCTCTATTTTCATTTGCAGGAGCTTTCTGTCATTGTGGCTAGGGGAAGAGATAATACTATAGTGTGCTATCCTGTCGTAGAAACTATCCACAGGTAAGATGCTTCTTCTATTGTGTTCTGTTTTCTATTTCTATCTATCTTTGTACTATGGAATCCCATCCAAACTAATACTTTTATAGATATTCTACTGTTCGCAATTTCTGTTCTTTTTAGCTATCCCTAATACCTATTATTTTATTCTAAAATCATTATTCGCAGACAGAACATTTGTCACATTGTCAAGTCACCTGCCAATGTATCTTGGAAGATCCTTAAACTTGCAACAGATGTTGCCTACAAGGCTGTGAGTTCACTGGAAGGTGCTGGCGTGTTTGCGGTTGAGTTGTTTTTGACAACTGATGGTCAGGTTGTACATTGATATTTTCTGTGTTACATATATCTTAATAAATCATGTGAACATCCATGTGAGTGTATATATTTTTGCAGCTTTGCATTCACTGTAGCGTAATAAATGCTTATGCATTCATTCGCAGATCTTACTGAATGAAGTGGCTCCTAGACCTCACAATAGTGGACATCATACAATTGAGTCATGTTTTACTTCACAATTCGAGCAGCATTTAAGGGCTGTTGTTGGACTTCCACTTGGTGATCCATCAATGAAGACTCCAGCTGCTATCATGTATAATATACTTGGTGAAGAAGAGGTAAACTGATTTTCTGTGGATTGTTATCTCCTAACAAGAGTGAAATTAAGTGCTACCGTGGATCATAAAAGCAAGATTGGTATATTTGTGCTGAACCAATGGAACATATAATTAGTTGGGAAAAAACATTATCACGAGCTTATTGTCATTAGTTGTCCGTGCGAAGCACACAAGTACTGTGTGGTAGTTTGCTGGTGTATGTTTCAATTACCTCAGACCATTAAAGATACTAGTGGATTATTGGAAGCTGTGTCATGGCCTTACCTCGTTTGGAAATACGATTTATGGTACCTAATATGCTCTAATCAAAGCATGGCATTTTTAAATAAATGTAGAGTTGGAGGATAATTATTGTGCACACATCAGGGAAACCTTAGCTGATTATAATTTGTACCTTTCCTTGGTGGAGGGAGGCTTTGGTGTCCCCTTGTTAAATCAGTAATTTATCTTCCGCGGTTCTCATGTATTGTGTTTTATAATTTGGATACAGGGGGAACCTGGTTTCAATATTGCGAATCAACTTATCGGACGAGCACTGAGGACCCCTGGGGCAGCAGTTCATTGGTATGATAAACCAGGTAGGATGAATTCTCTTTACATTTTTTTTTTCTTTGCTTAAAAGTTGCCCTTATTTTGACTCAACATTGTAGAGATGAGGAAGCAAAGGAAGATGGGTCATATCACATTAGTTGGCCCTTCTATGGGTATTGTTGAAGCTCGCTTGAAATCCATGTTGAATGAAGACGCAAATGAAGATCAGCCTGCAGGTCAGTTGTGTTAAAGTGTATGAGTTAAGTTAACAGCCGAAGAAGCCACTCATCTACAGAGTCTGCTAAAGCTCCCATTAATTGCAGCTTAACAGGGTTCTTACTGTACATTGCGCATATGGTTTTAAAATTGATAGGGTCATGCTTTGGGACACTTATAATGTAAATACATATAAATTATAATATCAATGCAAATAGGTGAAGCTCACCATCCCTATTTCATTTCAGTGATTTGAAAATTATATTTTTATTGGCTCCTTTACTTTTAAATTCCTCCGAACTTTATGTGTTAGTTGCCATGTTTATATCTTTTAAATAATAGCATAACATTAAATTAAATAATATCAAAACAATCGAAGAATGAAACTACTGATAATCGATGTACTATACCCCATAAAGAGAAACTTTCTATGGATGTGAGTAATTAATAACAGGAGCAAAATAACAATACTAACAACTACAACAACAAAAACTGAATTCTTATTTTATATATTTTTAATAATGTGTGTATATTTGTAGATTTAACTTTTTTATTTTGTAATTACCAACAATAGTTATTGGATTTTGCTTTCCTTTTGATTTGTTATAAACAAAACAGTTATAATTTACTTCAAGAAGCTACAGCTATAACTCTAATGGGAAACTTGGTCGTGTACTTCTGTTCACGCAAATCAGGTTTAAATGGGGAAAATGTCTTGAATTTGGAGTGTATAATTGAATTTTTTTTCCAGTTTCGCAATAGAAAAATCTTTAGTTAATATTTTCTGTTGCCTTCAATTTGATTGGTTATAATAGGCAGTTGTTCTACTGCAGAATCACCACGAGTTGGAATCATAATGGGCTCCGACTCTGATCTCCCTGTTATGAAGGATGCCGCAAAGGTCTTAAGAGAGTTTAATGTTCCGACAGAGGTTATTTCACTCACTGAATAATGTGATTTCATGAGGCGGCATGTGTATAATCGTTCATAATAATTGATTTGCCAGCCTTAATTGAATATACATTTCACAGGTAAGAATAGTGTCAGCTCACCGGACCCCAGAAATGATGTTTTCTTATGCTTTATCTGCTCGAGAGCGTGGTATCCAGGTCATCATTGCTGGTGCTGGAGGTGCCGCTCACTTGCCAGGTGTCGTATACTTAGTAACACAATGAATATTTCATGTTGATCAGATTTATTTGTTTTGGAGCAAGAACTTGGTTGTAAAATATTGTTGACATGGTTAGGCATGGTAGCTGCTTTGACCCCCTTGCCCGTGATTGGTGTTCCTGTTCGTGCTTCTACATTAGATGGACTGGACTCCCTGTTGTCTATTGTTCAGGTTCTTGGTCCCCCTCATATATTTCCTGTGGGTGTGCATATCATATTATCAACTATTTGGTTTGATGGATTTATTGGCATCCAGTAAGATATCTAGATTCCCTTCCGTATCATCATTATCGAAACTTATCCTGACCAAAAAGCTTAAATAGCACTTACCATTGTGGCTTACTCATGCTCACGACGAGGCACACAAGTATGTCGCATTTTGCTGTGAATATAAATAATTTAATCTATGTTCGGTTCTTGTCTTGGAGTTCGGAATTAAGGTCTTGCAACCAAAATCCTAAATGTGACTATCCAAAGTTGCCTGAAACATTGGGTTTGTATGAAGTGTGTTTGTGCTTATACTATGTCTTTTGTGCCTAAATGCAGGCAGTGAGCTCTCAAATGTGATGCCAGAAGCAATGCCCCTAGCTCATTATTTTTATTTTTTTAACAGTTCAGTTATTTGATTCGACCATTAGGATTAGTTCCCTCTAATTCTGTGATTAGGAAGTGAGGAAGTTGGTTTTAAGAGATGAAATTTACCATTTTATCAGCACATGATACCGTTTCAAAACAATAACTAATAAGAATGTGAGGTTCTCAGGAAAAATCTTCTGCCAAGCTTTAATATGTAATTATGTAAACGAATAGTTCAGTACATCTCCTACCTAGAGATAGTCTAAGAAATATAAATAAGACATCTATCCATGAAGCCCACCAAGTGAGAATGGCCCACTGGCAACGATTATTGCTACCTAAATACTATATTATAACTCAGTAACAAGAAAACTTACATGATAATAGCTAATGAATCTGAATGTTATCAGCACATGGTATTTATGTTCTACTTCTAAATTTTTATGGACTTCCAGATATGATTATGAACTATAAACCATTTTTTACTTTTTGTGGTTCATTAGATGCCAAGGGGAGTCCCAGTTGCCACGGTAGCAATAAACAATGCTACAAATGCAGGTCTGCTAGCAGTAAGATTGTTGGGAATAAGCGACATCGACTTGCAAGCTAGGTGAGACCATGTCCACTGCTCGTGTTCTTCTTTGTTTTCTTCCGTCTTTAATGTAAATTGCTCACTGGGCTGTTGTGGTCTTCATTGCACAGGATGGCCCAATACCAAGAAGATAGAAGGGATGAGGTGCTGGTAAAGGGTGATAAACTGGAAAAAGGAGGCTGGGAAGACTACCTCAATTCATGAGAGTTTTGGGTGCTTTTCTTTCCTGAGTGGACTTCGTATCCCCCCAGCTTGTCTGACCAAGAACAGTTTTTGCGAGCCCAATAAATCGAAAAAGCTGCACAAATGTTAGAGACTGATAGATGCTTGACTACTGATTTCGGATGCATAGCATGGAAAGTGGGCTCTGCTCGTCTTACTAAGGTCAGATACGCCTTTCTAGCCGATCATTCAGCTCAATTCATAGGTTGCGGCCTTTTATTTTTACTTTTTTTTTCCTTTCGATTGACTTCTTCAATCTTTGTTTCGACCTGGAGTGTATGACGTGTAAATACTGCCCATCTGGGGATTTTGCAAATATTTTTCTTATGTTTTTTTTTTCTTTAAAGAGTGGAGATTATGACGGGCCAAACTAATGTATTTGTGGTGTCTTTCAATTTGGTCTGCCTGTGCCCATCCTGTTCTTCGACCATTGAGGCATTTGGAATGTAGCCAGCTGAAGATACTTTTTAAGTGGTATCATGCGATTTATCATAAGGTTATCTTCATTTACTCTTGAATAAAGGGATCAAAATGGCTCAATTAAATTTTAGTGCTTTTTCTATTAGTGAAGTTTCTAGAAAAAAATATATCAAACGACGCAACGCACTTTGGGTCGCTATGGAAACAACCTCCTTGTATAATTACAAGGGTAAGGTCTGCGTACAACTGACCTCTCAGATCCCAACCTGTTGGGAATCTATTGGGTATGTTGATGATGTTGACGATGATGATGACTCTTGAATAAAGGCATACAATGGTAGTTTTGATGATACTATATAAGTGATGTGATACTCACTCTTAGCCTTCGTAGCCTTGTTTCACATTAATGGATGAAAGGCATCGCGGATAGAGATGTTAAACGGGCTAGTCCTAACGGTTTCGGGCTAGCCCTAGCGGGCTTCGGGTCAAACGGTCTGGGCTTAAAAAGCTCGGATTTAAACGGGCTACCAAAAAAGGGACCTAACCCTAGCCCTGGCAGGCTTCGGGCTAAACGGGCTATGCGGGCTATAATAATAATAATAATAATAATAATAATAATAATAATAATAATAATAATAAAATCAAAAATAAAAAGAGTAAATAATAAAAAATATATAAAAAATAACAACGGCTAGTTAAAAATTGTTTTCAACGGCTATTTAATATTTACCGCCTATCACTATGTTTTATGTGTTTCTTATTAGTCGTTCTCATTGGCTTAAGTATTTTCGTATGAAGTACAATAACAATATTATTAATAATTATCTTTCAAAATCATAATAATTCATTACAACTCATACTTACATGTGAAGTGGAAAACCAAAATTGTAATATACAAGTAATATAAGAGCATATTACTTACTTGATGCAAACATTTACACCGCCCAACCCTAGTTAAACGGGCCAGCCCTAGCGGGTTTCGGGCTAACCCTAGCGGGCTTCGGGCTAAACGGTCCGCGGGTCCGGGCCTAAAAAAGCCCTGATTTAAACGGGCTACTAATAAAAGGACCTAACCCTGTTTTTTTCGGGCTAAACGGGCCGACCCGTCGGGCCAAGGACCATTTAACATCTCTAATCGCGGATTTGGATGAGAAATAAAATTAATAGCCTTGTTTTGGTAAATAAATAATTTATGTGATAATTCCTCTACATTGCTTTGTTCTATTGGTCCCTACAAAGTTTTTTTTTTTTTTTTTT